ATATGTATATCAGCTCTTTCCATGTATCTCCCGCTTCCGAACACCTGTATTTTACCTTGCCTCTGTATTTTCGTATTTTTGGCTTATATATCAGTTGTATACGGCATGTATACAACCTATTGAATGTATACTGTCCATCTTAGGACTTTTGGAGGCTTGTATTTCGACTACCCCTGTCCATCCGCTTTCAAAACTCGAACATGATGACAGCCGACTCGATAAAAATAGGAGTGTTGTGTTTCAACCCAGCTCGGGATGCAAGGAGTGAAGGAGAGAGTTCCAAATTGGACTCAGAACAAGAGATTCATGCAGGAAAAATAAAACGATAAGAATTAGAATGGTAATTTACACAATTCATAATTATTCACGGCTATGGTGAGAGACACATTACAAGAAGCATCTAATGAACTATAATACATGCATTAATATATTACGTTAAGCATCTGTAAGTAACAAGTTAAGCATTTTTTGATTTAAGAACAATTATCGGTGCTGGAAACATACATATGTATATAGCAACCATGGCATACAATTGAGGCAATGGGGCATGAATCATAACATGGACTTGATCAAATTAAGTTATGCTAAATAGTGACGAATGAGTTGAAAACAGTGTTTAAACAAAATGAAATATACATCAGGTCATCAATAACAGAGCAAATTAAAATACTTTTATTGAAAAGGAATGAACATAAACCCAGGCTAACTAGAGTATCGGTATAAAAATCAAGCTAAGACAAAAGAGGGACATACAACAGCAAAATACAAACCAATCTCATAATGCCGACAATTTTCGGTAGCAGCGCAATGAGCATTAAAAGCTTGGACAAATGAATATTATGCTCATGCTAACCAATATAAGATGAAACCGCATGATCGACCTTGCTTTAAAAAAGACGCTAAAATCGAGATTGGGTGAAAAACAGTAGCTATGGCATGAAAGGAACGCAACTAAGCTAAGCCAAAAGATCGACTCTTTTGTTTTCAGAAGCAAAGGCTAATGCAGATTATTAAAAACTAGCACAAGGCCTTCAGATAGATTAACACATTTAACCAGAGCCATAGTCATACTCTTCAAATAAGATTCCAACATTCTAATATGAACATAATCACATGAGACCAAACAATTAACAAATAAATGTGTCATGCTACTATTTTAAGAACCATTTGGTCATGGGTACCATTTCCAGGGAATTAAGCATATATAGGTAATTGGAAATTAAACCAAATGAGTGCTAACAAATCACAAGAAGGGAGGGAATGATGAAGTCCAAGAAGACTCGGATGGTATCACATGCAACAAAATGATGATAACGATTAATACTCATTCATGTCACATGTAAAGGGATCAAAACTGAAAAATTCTATGAAAACAAGAAATCTGGCCTTCCAGAGTGTTAGCAAACACTCATCAGCACACAAATGATGACACTCAACTAGCACACATGTTAACTAATATCATGTAAATAGAAGGGAGCTTTGGAGTAATTTCATAGTGAACACAACTAGACCAATATCCTATGTCTAGCTTACCAGGCCAACATCAACCTGTCAATGATTCCATAGATCAAAGTGATTAGGACGGAGCTACCTTCCACTAATCCGTAGCAAACAACATTTTTATTCCCTATTCTTGTCTTTTATTCTATAGTTTCCAAAATAAACGTTAATCAACAAGAGATTAACAAGCAAGCTTTTAACCATTGCTAATAGACAGAGAAAGGGAAGCTGCTGTAAATTCTCAACACCAAGATAAATAGATTCACCCTTTCG